GGTGATAGGCCCCTACACCTGGGGGGGCTGAGATGTTCACAGAGAGATGGAGTCTAAGACGTAACCTAACACACAGACATAGACAAACAGGCACACACAGGCACAAGCGTGCATTCCCACCCTCATGCACACATATGTAAATACGCAGCGCTTGCCTAATGTGGAGACAAACAGAAATGAACACTGTAGACACACTCACACTCCCCAAACATATTCTGAAATATGCAGTTTGATCACATAGCACAATGCTACAGATGTGGCCACCATTTGCCTCACGCAGTGCAACGCATCACCATCGCATGACAACCCCCAGGTCCAGGTACCGTCGCCCCAGGAGGGGCAATCTGCCCCTAGACCCAGCATCCCAGACCCCGACCAGACAGCCAACTCCTCCTCCCAGCCCCCGCCCCCATTGGCAAAAAGAGAACGAGTGTGTGTGAAGACCCCATACCTTTCTCCACCTGCTCATATGTAGTGTTGCTGCTTGCTGTTCTAAAGTGCATTTAAAAGACGGGAAGGGCATGATGCTTTCTGCTAGCAGGTGTCAGCACGGCCCCTCCCGACAACCTTCAATGTCTACATGCATTTAAAAAATTGAGAGGTGGGCACCTGCACCAGAGGTGAGTCTGAATACACAGACCTTCCTCTTCATTCATTATTGAGATACTTTGACATAATTTAAGATTATTATTATTACTTATATAATTTATTACACAGATAATTTTGCATAACAGTCTAATAAGGGTAAAACAATGCACAGCAGTGACTGAAAAACTCTGTAAAACATTTGTTACTTCAAGTGTAACAGCAACACGTACTTTCACTTCTCCCTTCTGGAGCTCCAGAGGTTCTCGAGGATCAGCCATCCAGGGATCAACGGGGCTCAGTTCCACCAACTGAAGCCCCCCATCATCCAACATTGATACCTCTGCAAGTGCGACAAGAAGCTCAGGTGTAGTATTTAAATGATATTTATATTATTCTCATTATATTATCCATGCATTAAATATGGTCATTCATACTGACTCACATGTATTTATACTGTAGTGGGCTTTTTGGCACAAATGTGTAATTGTTATTACTTTCAAATGAATAAATTACATTAAACAGTTCCAGTCGTGGAAATTGTCAGTTGGAAGGATATGTTTGACATTGGTTTCTTGTTTTGGTTTGCTTTCCTGGTCAGAGCTCTTCACAAATGTTTAATTATTGTTCTTAGGAGGCAGTACATTTGCACAATGACTGAAACTAGCAGCACTGGCACCATTTCCATATTAATGACCAAAGAACTGACCTTACAGCCCATTGTTCATTCAGTGGGCTGGTTTCAGTCATTGTGCAAATGTACTGTTCATAAGGTTGGAGAAACCTGAAGTGAGCTGAGACTGAAGAAGTCACTTGGATGAGTGGAAAAAAAAAAAAGTAAATTACCAAGGAGAGAATTACATTGCATTAAACAGATTACATCCCAGTCATTTGCAGCATGGGAAATGTCTGTTGGAAAGAATATGTTTGACATTTCTTGATTACAATTATTGACATAAATTGTCATGTTATTCTTTAGAAGAGGCCCTCTACCAGTTTAGCATTTAATTTAATAAAGTAATGAAGGTAATTGCTATTCTGATTGTTAGAGCCTACTGTGGCAAGAGCTATAATTATAAGGTCCCCACACATCCCGTAATGCACCTTTACAGTTTACATATTTATATTTCAGATTTAGCATCCAACACTCATATTGCAGGAAGTGGAATATTAATATACAGTAAATGGCATTTTACAGACAGAACTTACCAAGCTCATCCTGCAAGAAGCTGTCAGGTGGGTTCACATATTTCATTGTTGACACATTTAATTTCCAGTTGTGTTTGGTACATTTAACAGTCCTGAGGGAACAGACAATTCTGTCAGCTATAATCAAAAATTGACAATGTATAATCACTGATATCTGCTCCTGCTCTCACATGCCATCCAGATCTTCAATGTCTTTGATGAACAGCCCCCCTTGATGCTTGCACTGGTTCTTGCATGCTTTAAAGTCATTGTTGCTCTTAAATATGATGTAACACTTGCCATCCTCTGGGCTTTTCTTGAAATTCACTCCTTCTTTGAGTGAGCCAACTGCTTCAGCATCCAATGACAACAATACCTTTGCTATTTGAGAGGCCATTGCACCTAAATGTTCAAATTCAAAAAGAAAAGTTTTAATGCACAACCTTTTGAGGCAAGCACAAGGAGTCTTACAATGACCAATGGAAAAAAACGGACCAGTAGTTACAACTGAAATGGCATCTAAACTCCGTAAATATAAATATACTGGCTCCTCAGGGAAGTGGCCAGGCGCATCCTCGGCACATGCTAATAAAGTAAGTGGGAGTTCATCGTGTTGCTCGCAGTCGGACACCGTGATAAAGTATGAAGGTTTGAAATCGGACATGCTTTCTTCTCTGAAAAACAATATCTCCACGATTATCAGGTCAGAACTGAGATGTGCGCTCGCAGAGGATTTTGACTCCCTGAACAACGAACTGAGGGAAGTTAAGAGGGAGATTGCTAAAAACACGGCTACAGTCCGCTCAGAAATTAACAACATCAAGTCCACCATTAGCAACCTGGAAGAGGGTTTATCGTCATGGTTGGACAAGTTTGTCAGCCTCCAAGGGACGGGTGCAGGATTACAGTCTGAGCTGTTTAGCATTAAATAAAAGTATGAAGATATGGAGGCAAGAATGCAGAGGTGCAATATTCATATTGTGGGTGTTGCGGAGGACGCTCAGTTTCCACCCTATTGAAAAAATTTCTGCAACTGGACAAAGACATCCTGGTGGACCGCTCACATAGAGCCCTTGCTCCCAGAAGACCCAGCGGGAAACCTCCAGTTATCATCGCTAAGACCAGCTTCAGTTTACAAGTCCTCACCTTGCCTAAATGACAATATTCACTGCTTAAAACGCTTAAAAGCTGAGCACTTGTGGAAGAAAACTCATTTAAATGCTCATCTCCTTTAGTTAAAGGATCTGTTAGTTTCTTTTAACAATGCAATTAGAGAGCTGAGGGCTGCCTATTTCTCTTATCTAGTTGCAAAGAGTAGAGGTAATCCTAGTTTCATTTGGCACCATTACTGACATTATTCCTCCTGCTCCACCTGCTGCCCCTATCACTTCCAACTTTCTTGCATTCTTAGTGATATAAGAAATAATTTTTCCCTATCATCTTATGCATTGTCAGCTCCTAATCCAGCTCGGTCTGTATTTTAGATAGTTTTTCTCGTCTTTCACTATCTGAGCTAAAAATAGATATCTCAATGAAAGAATCATCCTGTTTGCTTGACTGTTTGCCTGCATCGTTATAAAAAAATGTCTTCCATTCTATTGGCCCCTGTGTGCTCACCATAATTAACACTTCACTGACATCTGGTAAAGTCCCTGCTTATTTTAAAAATGCTGCTATACACCCACTTAAAAAACAAAAAACAAAGTTAGACCCTTCTCTAGAAAACTACCATTTACTGATAAGATTTCAGAAAAGGATGTGGCTAAGCAGCTTATAGCAGTTTTATACAAACATAATATTCTTAACAAACTTCAGTCTGGCTTTCGTATAACCCATTCTACTGAAACAGCCCTTCTTAGGGTCTCCAATGATATTTTGATGCAAAACGATGCAGGAAAATGTTCTCTTCTCCTGATGTTGGACCTCACATCGGCCTTTGATACAGTTCAATATAATATCCTACTTGAAAGGCTGAAACACTGGGTCGGTGTATCTGGGTCTGCCTTAGAGTGGTTCTCATCATATCTGTATGAAGGTTACTTTTTTGTGGCACACTGTTCCAAAAAATAGTAATGTCAAAGTATCTTACTGTATATTTTACAGTTTTGTACTGTCTTTCTAGGATATCATTAAATTTACACAAGTAGACTGTGATCTTACATGTCAAAGATAAAATAACGTAACAGCTCTGTAAATATAGTAAAACACAATTTACTTGTTTTTTAAATATATTTTTTTTGTACATATACATATTTAGATTGTAAAAATACATCCAGAAATGTATCATAATTTCACGAATATTTGTCTGTTATGTGAGAGAATGATCTGTTAAATTCAAATGTAATACTATGGAAAAATACATAAAATGATCGAAAATTAATGAGAATAATCAATAATTAAAGGAGTATTTCAATTATAATTTTGCTGAAAATTTCATGTCACCTAGGTCTGATTCAATAATTAAGAGGTAACAAGTGAAAATATAATTAATAGGAATAAAAACTAAAAAAAACATATTGTGGCTTGTTGGGGGAACAGCTAGTTCTCTCCCATCATGCCTTGGGACATGAGCTGCTTAGATGTTCTTGTTTTATTGTTTATGGTTACGTTACTTTTAACTGTTATCTTGAATGTTGTGTTTATGCCGTGGTGCAGAGTCACTGACAGTTGTTGTTTTGTAGAGGGAGTGCTGTACCATGAGTGACTTCTGTTGTGCTGTTGTTGAACCTTGAGGCACAACGTAGCACCAGCAAGTGTTTTAATAAAAAGCCTCCCCTACCAGCTTGGGGTTGGATGACAAGCTCAATCTCTCTCTGAGAGCTTCTTTGTTAAGATTCCTTTGCATGCCACAATGTAAAACATTGCACGGCCATGCTGTGCTAATTATAAATTTTGAACAAGAAATGTAGAGTTAGGAATTGCAATTAATATAAATCTCAGAACAGAAATAGGCCTCTGCACCTGGGGTGAGGGTGTGGCCATGAAAACAATGTGACATGCCATTGGATGTTGGGAAACAATAACATGACGCTAAGCATCGGCCAATGAATGTGAACTAACAACAACCAGGTCGCGGGTATGGCTGCGAGCGAAATCCTAATTTGAAGGTATTTTACTGTACATTTTACAGTAATGTTCTGTTCTTCTAGAATATCATTAAAGTTACGTAAATAGACTTTGACTTCACATTTCAAATGTAAATTAACGTTAAATCACTGTAATGTAATGAAACATAATTTTCATGATTATTAAATGTATCTGTCTGTACATATTCATATTTAGATTGTTAAAATACATTCACAAATGTATCATGATTTCACAAATATCTGTCCGTTATTTGAAAGATCAAACTATTGAATTCAAATGTAATGCCATGGAAAAGCATATAACATGATCCCTATAAGCTTGTGTTACGTCACATAAGTATTGTTATCATTGCTAGTTAGGGCGATCGTGGCTCAAAAGTTGGCAGTTCCCCTTGTGATCAGAAGGTTGCCGGTTCGAGCCCCGGCTCGGACACTCTCCGTCGTTGTGTCCGTGGTCAAGACACTTCACCTACCGCCTACTGGCGATGGCCAGAGGGGCCGATGGTACGATATGGCAGCCTCGCCTCTGTCAGTCTGTCCCAGGGCATGCAATCCATTATTATTTAAACCAACTGTTAACTGTATATTTCTGTACATTTACGTATTATGATTCATATTGCCACATTCATTGACCTTGTTTATAGGTAATTTCATTGTTTGATCGCGTTAAAATGTTCCTAATTTAATGTCTAAAAGCACTTGGAAAAGGCAGAATCCCATGTAAAATTAGCGCAACAAACTCTATTTTCATTAATGAAAATGACCGTATTTTTATGGGACAGTTATTTTCTGTTATTTTACGGTCGTATTTTGGCGACCCAGCTGCCGGAATATCACCGTTTTTTCAAGATGCTTTTTCTAAAAGTGTAGAGCAGCAAACACCCCTGTAGACGTGTTGTTTCTCCTCTAAATTTAATTCTGTCATTTGCTTTAAAAAGAAAAAATAAATAAATAAATATTTTGAAGGCTCAACAGGAAATGATCAGGTTATATTAAGAGGACCAAACCTGTAGTGCATCAGCAGCTGCGTGTTGTTGTTATCAGGACTTTATCTGGAGATGAAGATGTTGCTGCCACTCCTGCTCCTCGTACTCGGTAAGAGCGCTCTTTGAATGCAAACACAACAACACAGCTGTTTGTGCTTTTAGACAACATAAAGTCTAACATGAGTTTACTGAATGTAAACTGACTGTACTTGACTTTATTCCTTATAACCCCCTCTGGGACTTCATGCAGGGCGCTCACAGGGTTACAGTTGACTTCATATCTGTTTAAGATGAACTATCTGTGTGTTCCAGACGTCTCTGTTTCTTACTGATAGAACCACAAACCTGCCAGAAAGTAGTGACGTTTGACAAGATTAACGACTATGGCAAAATAAATATTCCGGCGCCCCAGCTGCCGGAATATTGCCATTTTTTTAAGATGTTTTTTTTTTCCTATTTATAGATGATTTCATTGTCTAATCACATTAACATGTTCCTAATATGATG